GCAACAGTGGACGCGCGTAGGTAGTCGTCACCTCATGCCTCACCGTGTAACAGTTGCTCAGGAGGTAGATAGTCCAGATTGGAGCTGTAGCGACCGTCCTTTAGAGGCTTGATGAGGCCGAAGCATGAAAGCTTGGGTTCATTGTCCTGCAGTTACGAAAAAGAGGAAGCAACAGGATGTGACTTTTGAGAGTTCTCAAAAGTGAATCCAGCATGAAAGTCTGGGTGCTCCGCAGTGACAAAAAAGAGGAAGCAACAGGACAGGATGTGGCGGGTTTTGAGGCGCCTCAAAACTCGTCAAATTTCGCGCGGCGGTTGATACGAGGAGTTAGAGAGCACTATCTCACAGCGCAACAATTTGTACTCGTTCTAAGAAACTCACCTTATCCAACAGCACTTTGTAAGGGTTAAGGTCATGATACACAGGCATTCCCTTCTCCCTCCCCAGATGCTCCAGTGCTTGCGCCACACGCATGGCCACTGCCAGCCGTGCGAGCCAAGACATAGGGCGTTGCTCCCCTGAGATGCAGGAAAAAGAGGGGTGGAGGAAAGGGGGGAGCAGGGTGCAATGGTGTGCGGTGCGGAGGAGTGAAAGTGTGCATGTAATCCCCCCACAGATGCTCCAGTGCTTGCGCCACATGCATGGCCACTGCCAGGCTGGCCAGCCAGGACATGGGGCGCTGCTCCCCTGAGACATTCCAGGCAAGGGAGAAGTAGAGGATTTGCATGGTGGGGTGGGGAGGAGTGTAAGCATATGCACTCCTGCCTCACGTGCTCCAGTGCTTGCGCCACACGCATGGCCACTGCCAGCCTGGCTAGCCAGGACATGGGCCGCTGCTCCCCTGAGATGGAAGGGGCAGGGTAACCCAGGAAGGGGAAAGGAGGGTGAGAATGGGGTGCGCCTGTAGAAGCACTTTCGCCCCGGATGCTTGAATCCAGTGCTTGCGCCATACGCATGGCCACTGCCAGCCGTGCTAGCCAGGTCATGGGCCGCTGCTCCCCTGGCACAGCAGACAGGGGGGAAAACGGAAGGTGGGGGAGGGCGGGGTGGGGGTGGGGGCGAGAGGGGGGGATGTGGAGCGGTGATTGTGGATGCGCTACCTCCCCATATGCTCCTCCCACAGCCAAACAGTTACACTTGGTTTGGTAGGCGGCACAGAACAGCTTCTTACCAAGAAGGCAACAACTGCTTGCAGTTGGGCAGGTGCGGGGTGAAAGTGCAAGTGCAGTTGGGCATGAAGTCAGAGACGAGCAGCCTGTGCTCTCCCTCACAGCAGAAACCCAGCAGCTTGCCAAAAGAGCAGCAGAAATTAATGTGCAACAGGTGTTGAGCGAGCGTGCAGTTGGGCATGAAGTCAGAGACGAGCAGCCTGTGCTCGCCCTCACAGCGGGTGTGTTGTTGACTTGCCCAGTCACTCACATAGACAACATTGCAGCTGCAGCAGCACTGAGAGGCTGACGTGCTGTTCTGTTCAAGGGCCTCACAATGAAACAGGTGTTGCGCGAGCGTGCAGTTGGGCATGAAATCAGAGTCCAGCCGCTGGTGCTCGCCCTCACAGCAAAAACCCACCAGCTTGCCAAAAAAGGAGCAGAAACCAATCCACTCTCAACATAGGCTGATGTGCTGTTACAGGGCCTTACAATGAAACAGGTGCTGAGCGAGCGTGCAGTTGGGCATGAAGTCAGAGACCAGCAGCCGGTGCTCGCCCTCACAGCAGAAGCCCAGCAGCGATGTGAGCCCCGGGTAGCGAATGCTGCCCACTGCCGTGGCGTCTGCCTGTTGGGTGTGATGGTGGGTGGGGTGACCGTGAGGGACAAGAGGAGAGGAGAAGAACAAGCGCGGACAGCAGAAGCCCAGCAGCGATGTGAGCCCCGGGTAGCGAATGCTGCCCACTGCCGTGGCGTCTGCCTGTTGGGTGCGGTCGGGTTGGGTTGCGATGGGTTAAGGAACAACAGCAAACCAGTTTGACAAAAGGGTAAGACAGGCAGAAGCCCAGCCAGCAGCGATGTGAGGCCCCCTGTACCGAATGCTGCCCACTGCTGTCCCGTCTGCCTGTTGGGTGTGTGTGTGAGGGAGGAAAGGGCATGGATGTGAGGAAGACATTACGATGAGGAGAAAGCAGAAGCCCAGTAGTGATGTGAGGCCCCCTGTACCAAATGCTGCCCACTGCCATGGCGTCTGCCTGTTGGGTGCGTGCATGGGGCGTTGCGCGTGTGGTGGGGACAGGAAGGAGGGAAGTTAGTGAATTGTGAGTCCTAGGTAGCACAAGTGATTCGGCATGGATTGAAACTTCGGGTAGCGAATGCTGCCCACTGCTATGGCGTCTGCCTGTTGGCTGTGTGGTGGGGGAGAGGGATGACAGAAGCAAAAGCCTATTGGATGCGTGGGGTGGGGGGGAACAGGGACGATGGAGGGGAACTGGGGGGGGGGGGCAGCAGACGCCTTTTGAGTCGACTCAGAGGTCGCTCCTTCCACAGCAGAAGCCCAGCAGCAATGTGAGTCCTGGGAGGCTGCTCCTTCCACGCTGCTCCACTGCTGTAGCTTCTTCCTGCTGGACGGCCTGTGCCTTCCCCTCCTGCTGTCGACTCCCACAGGAGGGGAAGGCATAGGCCCAGCAAGCAAGCAGCAATGTGAGTCCTGGGAGGCTGCTCCTTCCACGCTGCTCCACTGCTGTAGCTTCTTCCTGCTGGACGGCCTGTGCCTTCCCCTCCTGCTGTCGACTCCCACAGGAGGGGAAGGCATAGGCCCAGCAAGCAAGCAGCAATGTGAGTCCTGGGAGGCTGCTCCTTCCACGCTGCTCCACTGCTGTAGCTTCTTCCTGCTGGACGGCCTGTGCCTTCCCCTCCTGCTGTCGACTCCCACAGGAGGGGAAGGCATAGGCCCAGCAAGCAAGCAGCAATGTGAGTCCTGGGAGGCTGCTCCTTCCACGCTGCTCCACTGCTGTAGCTTCTTCCTGCTGGACGGCCTGTGCCTTCCCCTCCTGCTGTCGACTCCCACAGGAGGGGAAGGCATAGGCCCAGCAAGCAAGCAGCAATGTGAGTCCTGGGAGGCTGCTCCTTCCACGCTGCTCCACTGCTGTAGCTTCTTCCTGCTGGACGGCCTGTGCCTTCCCCTCCTGCTGTCGACTCCCACAGGAGGGGAAGGCATAGGCCCAGCAAGCAAGCAGCAATGTGAGTCCTGGGAGGCTGCTCCTTCCACGCTGCTCCACTGCTGTAGCTTCTTCCTGCTGGACGGCCTGTGCCTTCCCCTCCTGCTGTCGACTCCCACAGGAGGGGAAGGCATAGGCCCAGCAAGCAAGCAGCAATGTGAGTCCTGGGAGGCTGCTCCTTCCACGCTGCTCCACTGCTGTAGCTTCTTCCTGCTGGACGGCCTGTGCCTTCCCCTCCTGCTGTCGACTCCCACAGGAGGGGAAGGCATAGGCCCAGCAAGCAAGCAGCAATGTGAGTCCTGGGAGGCTGCTCCTTCCACGCTGCTCCACTGCTGTAGCTTCTTCCTGCTGGGTGTCCTCCCATTCCTTCTGGACCTGCTTCTGCTTCGCTTAAGGGAGAGTCCCTCTGTCCCCAGCATCTATGCACACACACACACAGGGTTGGTTGAAATACGCTACACTCGTAGTACAGCAAAGCGGCGCTCTTGCAACCATTCAAGCAACCAACCACAATCGCCTCTCATTACGAAATGCTGAGCGTCTGTCTGGAACCGCTTCATTGCCACTTGCAGCAGTCACTCTGCCCCCAGCACCACCAAATACGCCACATTACCAAACTACCTCTCGCTTTCTTCTCTACCAACCAACCACACACAATCCACCACTCACTGCAAACTGCTGGGCGTTCTCCCACTCCTTCTTCTGGAACCGCTTCACTGCCACTTGCAGCCCCTCCGGCCCCAGCACCCCTCGGTACACCACGTTCAGTGCCTGCCTGCCGCCCTCCGATACCACGTTCTTCTCACTGGGGAGGACAAGGAAGGGAGGGGAAGAACACAAGAGGAGCGCTGTGCGAAGTTCCATACAGGCCAAAAGGAACCACTCTGGCCCCAGCACAGTATCCCCCGGTACACCACGTTCAGTGCCTGGCTGCCGCCCTCTGATACCACGTTCTTCTCACTGGGGGACGAAGGGAGGGTACAAAAAAAACAGGAGCGCTATGAGATAGCCCATACGGGCCAAATGCAGCCCCTGTTACCCCCAGCACCCCCCGGTACACCACGTTCAGTGCCTGGCTGCCGCCCTCTGATACCATACCACGTTCTTCTCTAGGGCAAGGCGGGTTGAGATGGTGGAGGAAAGAGTCAGGAGGGAGAGAGTGTCAAGCCATACTGTCCCCAGCACCCTCCGGTACACCACGTTCAGTGCCTGCCTCCCTCCGATACCACGTTCTTCTCACTGGGGGGAGTTAGGAAAGGGGGGGAAAGGAGCACAAGAGCAGCGCTATGAGAAGCCCTATCCAGTCCAATACGAACTCCTGTGTCCCCAGCAGCCAACCCCCGGTACATCACGTTCAGTGCCTGCCTGCCTGCCTGCCTGCCTGCCTGCCTGCCTGCCTGCCTGCCTGCCTGCCTCCCGCCATCAGGCACCACATTCTAGCAGCTCCCAGCTCCTCCAGTGCCATTTGCATGTCAGGCACTGCAGCAATCTTATAACGCGTACAGAGTGCAGCCTGATGTGTTGCTCAACTAACCTGAAGTTGTTGGTAGCTGCCATCAGCTCCTCAAGTGCCATTCACCTCTGAGGCAATGCAGCAACTGTATAACGCGTACAGGGTGCAGCAAATGTATAGTGCAGCTATACCTGAAATTGTTGGTAGCTGCCATCAGCTCCTCCAGTGCCATTCGTCGAAACTCAGGGCCCACTGCTGCCTTGCCACTGCCGTTACCACCGCCAGTGCCACCGCCACTGGTGTTGTTGTTCTTGCTGTTGTCGCTACTGTTGTAAGCTGGTGCTGCTGACGAGTCTGTTGCTGAAGCTAGCTGGGGCTGTGCCTGTGGCTGTGGTTGCATTAGGGGTTGTGACGCTGCTGGTCCTGCTGCGGATCAGGGTGGGAGGTCAGGATTGGATGGGTGGGGGCGAAGCAAGGCACGAGGTTGATGACGGAGATGGATGGGAGGAGAAAAGGCATGGGGGGAATCATGGCAGTGCGGGCAAGAGAAGGGAGCGGGGGGGTGGAGGAGACGCTGGGTGGGCAGGGGGAGTGGTAGGGGAAAATCAGGAAAGCAGGGTGGGCTGGCAGGGGTGGTGGAAGAAAACAGCAGGGGCAGGGGGGGAGAGGGGAGAAGCAGGATGGGCATGCGGGGTGGTGAGGGAGAAGCAGTGTGGGCAAGGCGGGAGAAACGGAGGGGAAAAGAGTGGGGGTGGGCGCAATGTGGGCAGGAAAGTTGGTGTGGGCAGGAGACGCAATGTGAGCAGGGGGGTTGGTGTGGGCGGGAGACGCAATGTGAGCAGGTGGGGTGGTGTGGGGGAAGCAATGTGAGCAGGAAGAGTGGTTGGGGGAAAGCAATGTGAGCAGAGGGAGAGGTGGGGGGAACGCAATGTGGGCAGGGTAGAGGTGGGGGGAATGCAATGTGAGTAGAGGGAGAGGTGGGGGGAACGCAATGTGGGCAGGGGAGTTGGTTGTGAGAGACGCAATGTGAGCAGAGGGAGAGGTGGGGGGAACGCAATGTGGGCAGGGGAGTTGGTTGTGGGAGACGCAATGTGAGCAGGGGGAGAGGTGGGGGTGACGCAAGCAGGGGGGCCGATGGTGGGGACGCAGTGTGGACATGGGGAGTGGTGGGGGAGACGCAATGCGAGCAGGGGGGGTGGTGGTGGAAACGCAATGTGGGCAGGGGGAGTGGTTGTGATGCTGCTTTTGCGCATGCAGATGAAAATGGAAGATCAAAATTGTCATGGGGACAAGCACGTGGGTGGGAATGGTGGTGAGTGTGATGTTTTTTTTTGTGAAAGATACCAAATGGGAGAAGGGGGAGAGGAGAAAGGAAGAGTAATATATAAGACTTTCACAATTTGGCCTTTACCTGGTATGCCGTTACTTTCCGCCGCCCTGTCTCCATGTGCGGCCTGCTGTTGCTCGGATGGCTGGGCTTTCCCAGGCCCTTGATCCGTAAGTACAGCACCATCGGACGGTTGTCTCTGCTCGTCGGATTGTGGCTGTTCCTGCTGCCGCTTCTCTGCCACTGCTCCCTCCGCCTCCTGCTGTTGCTGCTGCTGCTGCTGGGACTGACCAGATTCGGGTTGTGCCTGCTGCCGCTGCTCTTCCCTTGATTTATTCTGCTCTCTCTCCCCCTCTTCCGCTTCCTTTTGGGCTTTAAAGCACACCGACCCCATAGCACCAAATTCACGACTAACGGAAATAGCCCTGTGTGTGAATAAGCTGGCACATTCTCGAGCGACGAGCTGGTTACCCTATGGTTTCGCACATGCCCTGACGAGCAGCGGGCTGGGTTACACTAGAGTTTCGCACGTGCCTGAACGGAAGGCAAGCTAGATCCTAGGGGTTTCGCACAGGCCCCAAAGAAACTGCTCCTTTCGCCACACCCTGGGCCCGAGGGCCTGGCGTATTAAAAGAGACGTTGGAGCTAGCAGAACTAGCGACGCAGCAGGGTGAGCTGGGAGGCAGGTCAACTAAAGGGGCATGTTAGCTGGGGTCGGAGAAGGCTGGAGAGGCAGCAGTGGTTGATTTTCTAAAGACGCCTCAAAAGCAGAGGCAACGCGAGAGCGGGGACGGAGACGAGTTAACACGTTCGGAATGCGGGGCTATGCAGTGTAGCGACGCAAGCGGGTTTTCAGAGTCACCACGGCCATAAAGCGGCTTCTTTGAGACCGTCTCGCGATAGCGGGATGACGAAGTCAAACTGCTCCAAGGAGTGAGATTGAGAGCGCGAACATAAGTTACTGGGATGAGATATTAGGAGAAACAGGTCCTCAAGTATACAACACTAGGAAAATATCGGACCGCGAACGTTGGCCTGGTCTTGACGAGGATGGCTTTTCCTCCACAGGAAGATCTTTGTTATCTTCCTTCTTTTGGTTCTTTCGCGTTCTTTGCGACTATTCGATTACAGTCGATGAGCTGCAGGCTTGAGAAGCAAGCTTCAAAATGAAAACAGCCGAAGAAGCAGTCCACTGGTCACAAGGGCTGATACAAGCGTATCACACGGACCTTTTCGGGGGATCGAGTGCGGATGATGCGTGAATTGAGACGCATCACACAAGATTGCTCTTTAGAATGACGCAGTATGTGGTTCTGGATCATGGAAAAGTTTCCATGCCCCTCAGAATTGGTCGTGCGAAGGGGTTAGACACGGCTCAGTGAGATTCTGACTAATCTAGCGTGTTGCAGTACGGTGGCAGTTCAATTTTCTAGGTGCTTGACCCTCGATGTTGCTGCTAATGGTGGGTCTGCGAATGGTGACACGCCCTCCTGACCTGACTGTTCTTCCAGAAAGCGGGATGAACTAGGGCGTTCACAGTTTTGTTCACTTGTTGCGGTTGAGTACGATGGCATGCAATTTGGGGCGGTGACACTGCACCGCCTTGAAGCACGACTCACCACTGCTAAAACGACAACTTCAAGGTCATCGCGAACTTGTCCGATTGCGAGAGATATGCTGCTTCGTACAGAACTCCTCAGTGCATTTAGGACGTGGTTCAGCACACCTTTGATTGCCTCGACCTAAAGCAAGCCACAATTTCCCTGAAAACCAGAAAGGCAATTAGGGGCAACGGGGGGCAATTAATGATAACGAACGATTGATCTCCCCAACCCGATAATTTCCAAGATCACCCCAATCAAGCACTATCCACTTCAATCAATAACAATCACATGATTGCATGGGAGTATGATATTAACGACAACCGCGATATGGTGTTGCGATAAAATCGTCTGTGATATTACAAAAAACAATGCCTTCGCGGGATATTGTGTGGTCACCACTCTAGCCAAAATCGTTACAAACTTACCACGTAACTGTGGCACGCTTGCCATATATGAGCTTCAAAATTTCAAGGAATATATGCCTTGATCGGACGGCGCGAGCAATGCATTTTGTAGCAACCCGGTCAGATCCAACGCGCCCAAATCCGAGCTTTCAAATGCGTGTTGTTCCGCGTTCTTAGGGCTTATGGAACTGTCGATTGATCTAGGCCCTGCCCGTAAGAATTGGAGTTCTCCCAAACCACGCCCTAAAAATTTAGGGAAGATACCCAAATTGGCCCTAAAACATCGAATTTGTTCAACTTAATATGTCTTACCTACTTTATATATCAGTGCACACTACATAGGGGAATGTGAGAAATATGTTGCAATGTGGGGTGTGTCAAAATAGTAGGAAGAACGAGGAGCCATAACTAGGGTTTGGGCTAGTTAGGCAAGAGAGAATGAGCAAAGGAGGACTTGCACTAGCAAGCAGGTGGATACATATAGGAAACCCTAAGGGGCCGTACTCACTTTAGAGTACCCCACTGCAGGCTAGACAAACTACACATTCTGACACACCCCCATAGTCAAAGTGGGGTATGATTAGCACAACAAGCAGCAGTTTATAGTTCACAAATATAAGCAAAGCTAGGGGCTAACACAGAGGGCTAGTGAGGAGGAGGAGGGACTATGAGAGGAGAGGAGGTAGTGGGCGGCAGCTGGAGCTGCTGGCACACGGCGCAACTGGAGCAACTGGCACACTGGCAACTGGAGCAACTGGCACACTGGCAACTGGAGCAACTGGCACACGGGCAACTGGAGTATCTGGCTCCGCGGCTAGACGAGCGGCAGGAGCAACTGACTCTCGGGCGACTGGAGCAACGGGCTCACGGGCGACTGGAGCGACGGGCTCACGGGTGACTGGCGCAACGGTCTCACGGGCGACTGGAGCTGCTGGCTTCACGGCGGCCACCCCCTTTCAACTTGTCCCAAAACTCCCGTTCACACCCCCTGCTGCACCCCTAGCATCACTCCCACGACACCACCCTAGCACCACTCCTTCGGCTCCCACACACCCACCCCCCTCAGTGACAGCTGCAGCAGTGGGAGACGGAGGAGGAGGAGGAGCAGGGAACGACGCACACACCCGTCACCCCCATACCCGCCACCCCCACACTCGCCACCCCCAAACCCTAACACGGGCAGTACGGGGCAGGAGCGCGGGCAGCAGCGCGGGGGACGGCGCGCGGCCCCCAGGGCGCCGCGACGGGGCAGCGGGGGGCCGCGCGCGGCACCCCAGGGCGCCGCGACGGGGCAGCAGGGGGTCGCTCGCGGCTCCTCAGGGCGTCGCGACGGGGCAGCGGGGGCCGCGCGCGGCTCCCCAGGGCGCCGTGACAGGATAGCGGGGGCCGCGCACGGCTCCCCAGAGCGCCACGACGGGGCAGCGGGGGGCCGCGAGCGGCTCCCCAGGACGTCGCGACGGGGCAGCGAGGCCCGCGCACGGGTTGCGGGGCGATGCGACGGGCTCCAGGGGGGGCGACGCGACCGTCGACAGGGGGGGACGCGCGGGTCCCCGGGGTGACGCGTGAAGCAGGAAGTCGCCACACGCCTCGGGGCGCACGGCGGGCAGAAAACCGCCATGCGCCCCGAGCGCGTGGCGGGAAGAAAAAACAGCGTCGCGCGCCACGGGGCGCGCGACAGACAGGAAAGCAGCGGAAGCAGGTGGGCCCACAGGCCAAGAGCGTAACAGCTCTGTTACCATGTCAGAATAGTAGGAAGAACGAGGAGCCATAACTAGGGTTTGGGCTAGTTAGGCAAGAGAGAATGAGCAAAAGAGGACTTGCACTAGCAAGCAGGTGGATACATATAGGAAACCCTAAGGGGCCGTACTCACTATAGAGTACCCCACTGCAGGCTAGACAAACTACACATTCTGACAGGGTGGGGAGAGGGGACGTATGCGGCAAAGGTGAAGGGGGTGGAAGGAAGTATTTGGGGTGGGGGGGGGGGATGCACACGTACGTGGGAAATCCAGGGAAGCCTCAAGAGGTAACTACATCCCTCATATAAGTGGCTGGAAACAATGTTGGAAAACGAAATGAGGGACTCGCATCGCCTTAGTTATCAACAATATCAATGCGATCTTGAAGATCAGGGGTCTAGGCATGCATCATGTGTTATTGCTCATTTACAACTACCATACCTTTATTTAGGGGTTTGGACTAGGCACCTAGATTGGTTATAAGACACACGAATTTAAAAATATTTGTGATACGCTAGTATACGTATTGCGCATATTGAGGGTACATTCCAGCGGGGACATTTGAGTCCCAAATCCCTTGTGACGCGCAAATACTGCATAGATTGCATTGTGTCACAAATGCACGTCGTCTTAATGCGTCTTCTGGTGTATTTTACATTGGACGATGTCACGTCATTGTCAACACATCGCACGCATGTCGAAATGTAATGGTCTCGCCCGACTCGACCACATGCACCTAGACACCCCACCAGATGCCAAATTCACGCGGAAAAAATATCGTAAGGCCTCGGGCAGCCCTAAACATCCTGCAAGCGTGCATCAACTTCCCACCAAAAGCACACCCGATCTTGCCACAGACCCCGGATCTTCTTCCACAAGGAGTCCTTCACAGTCTGCTCCCTTCCTCTCCTCCATTTACTGTATATTTTTTCCTCGTTACCTCCAACCTACTCTAGTTTCTAGCCTGATAGCCATGGTGCGGAAGCGAAAGACGTCCGTCGTGGACGCCAAGGACCCATGCCTGCAGGATCTTAGCGATATCCCCTATATTCGTTGGATGAACAATCAGATCGCAAGCAAAGAAAGCCTGGAGGCCTTGCCCCTCCGTGTGCTCCTTCTCCACTCGACCTCTTCTCCAAAGCACCGCGTGAAGGACCGTCACATATGCGTCGTGATGCCGACCGGGTTGCGTCGACGCGCACTGTCGACGAGGACATCGATGTAAACGACACGTAGGTTCAGATTACAACGACTATGCGGCTGGGACGGACAATGACGATTATGGGGAGGACGACGACAAAAGACGACGCGGAGGGCGATGACGACGGGCCTCCTTAGGAGACTCAGCAGGAGACGTCGGTTTGTCGGAGCGACCGTAACGAGGCCAATAGCATGCCTAAGTTCAGGAGCAACGGTAGCTTACCTCTGTGCGGTGCCTCAAAGACCCGAAATCCCGAAGACCCGAAATCCTGGCCTTGTTGTGCCCACGACTACCAACCTCGGAACCTCTACTCCGACATCCATCGTTGAGGCATGCACCTTTGGACATTCTTGCATGTGTAGTTTGACATGTGTTATTTTGCGTGTGCCATTTTCTTTTAGTTGATAATAGTGACAATGCATTATCATGCATACTTGCATTGGGGC